TGTACATGTATGTTTGCCATTCTCCCCCCATTCCCAAGAAATCGCACATGTAGCTGAATTGATAATTTCTTTATTTCAGCTAACATTTTGATTGATTACACTGGCACGGTACCATGAATGAATAATTTGCATGTGTGTACTGCATACAATTATACGGTATGTATAAACAGGGCGAATACATAAATGTATTTATGAGTATAAATTGCATAAACATTTACACGTACATGTATATAACGTACATAAATTCAAAGCAAGCCTACATGTACATTTCATCCTACATCTAGTAGATCTATAGATGTGCATGATTTTCAAGATGGGGCTGAATGAGCAGAAGCAATACAACTCTTGGGGTAGCCTACCGTACAAGTATTCAGCTCAGGTACATGTATGACAACTATTGAACGACCGGTACATGTACACAAACTATTTGTTATATCAGTTCCTACTTCCTACCAATACAAGCACAACGGTTGCTGTTATTGGTATATATTATTTATTATTATTATTTATTTCTGGAAATGACACCAAGGATTCCTCAAGAGTGCCCTGGGCAATGTAGCTGGCAAGCCTGAAGAAACCTGTAGAGGAGACAATGAGAAGCAGTTACAGTTTTAAAGGTGGGAGGAAAACCCCAGAGGAATATTCTGGGTAAAACCCACGGAATCAGGTAGGGACTGAAACCCCAATCCACATGTGGACTGAGCCGGGATTCGAACCCGGGCCGCAGAGGTGAAAGGCGAGGAAAGAACCACTGCGCCAACCCTGACTCCAGGTACAACCGTCTCATGCATGAAGAGGTACAGTACATGTACACCGTGTTCACTTTGCTTGCATATGACCAAAAGATCATTTTATGCAAATGGCTTTCCAACGCTATCCACTAAGTGAATTTGCTGATAATCTGATTCAAGATACATGTCGCATGTCAGCTGTACTGGTTCATGTGTTACATGTATATACCGGTACTGTACCGGTGCATACATGTACATTGTACTTGACTGAATCCAAACTGCCCACGCATGTTGCACATGTACGTATACATGGAGGAGGTTACATGTAGATGACTAAGCATTAGTGTTCATTAAGTTTACACTTGGTCATACATGTACATGTATGTACATCAAGCATATAGCCGATGCACACAACCATGAAAACAAACTAATTAGCTAATGTTATATCTGAATAATTGCATATCATATTGTAACACACCATGCATATCTTTGAGGTACATGTACATGTAACTCAGAGTTAAAAATTAAAAAAGGCAACAAATCAGCCATTGGAAATCTCTCTATTGATTGGCAAAAATATTAAATTGTCATTTGCAATTAAATACCCCATGTACATGTACAGTGCATACATTAATACATGTGCATACAACGTATGCACATTTATATACAAGTTAGCATGGTACCGGTATTACATTATCAAATGAGGAAGTGGTGTACTTTCAACACCTTACATACTGTACATGTACGTGTACAGGTGGAACCACATGTACATGTGTAGATGTTGAAACCATACATGTACATGTGTAAATCAGTATCATGGACTAAAATGAAAGAACACAAAGTCAACAATGAGATTGAAATATGAAAGTGAATGTAAACAGGAAAAGTTTGAAAGTGTCCGCAATGATCTTAAACATGGCTTACAAGTACTTACATGTACATATACAGAGTATACCGGTATGTACGTACAAATGTACCTTAGAGTACATGTACCTGTAATGTGGGCTTCCCTGTGCAGTGCATTCAACTAATGCTCAAAAAGGTAAGGGGATTCTGAACCCTATAGGTGAAAAACCTGAAAGCGCATTTAAATTAGATTGTAGCTTAACTGCAAACTGCCCGTGAGTAGAAAATACTGGCACTGCTGCTAATCTAATTTCCACATTTTACACGAAAAATCACCCGAGAATCAGTACCATTTACATGTACATGTAGTGAGGACAGCTTGACTGGCCATGCTCATTACGGCACCCTTTTTAAATTCTAAGGTTCTAATTTGACCTGACTGACCCTGATTTGGGCTCCCCATCATGAAATAAAGGCTTTTTTTCTACCGACCCTGCTGAGAGGACTTTGCATATGACCTATACAAAAACAGCGCTGAAAATACACACGTGATACGATTTCACCCGAACATGATCAACGCCGTGACAATAGAATTCCATGATACAGCATCACCACTGGACCGAGTGGTATCATACCGCACTGAATGTATTCATACTACATGTACATGTACATAACCCCATAGGAAAAACCGAAAGATACATGTACATACATGTATGTACACGTGCATGAGTATGTACCGGTACATACATACACACTGCACACACGAACACCATACAGTATCTTGAAACTGACTCCTTTGAGGTATTGTGTTGTGTGTACATGTACATGTACTGTACATGTACATGTAGGCCTACTGATAAAAATATTTCTCTGTACTCGGCAAGAATTCAAGACACTCATGGAACTCAACACGAAACAAGTGACAAATTTGCATACCATATTGCTTTGCCTGGTTTATTCGGTCATTTACTCGTATATAGTAGCATCATGGATTTTATTTTTAAATGAAAGGAATTTTATTTGTTTTTGACCGACTGACCCTCCTTCCATTGGAAAAAGAGATGAGAACCATTGTGATGTAATATAGTAAGGGGTGCCCTTACTGCAAAGCAGATTTCTCTTTGCTTTTCAAACAATGGGGCGACAAGTCAAGAGGGAAGGGCTGGAACCTATTCACCTACACGTACAGGTATCTGCAGAATTCCCAAGTGATAACTTCTGGTGACTATTATTGCCAGTTACACATGTACATGGATCATTACTGTCATCAACACAATGCCCCTAACGCTCCGCTCCTATTTGACTGTTTTTGGTAAACCTACATTTTTTGTACCACAGATTTTCTTACTTAACTGAAGTCCAACCACAACAACAGAATTGACACCTCCGTTA